ATGAGAAAAATATGCTGCAATTTTAAATTGTTGAAAAACTCAAAAGTTTTATAAACTACTTGTATGAAATAAGTCTTATCCATATGATTATCAATAATTTAAGAAGATTACTGTTAAATTATCTTGCTCATCATGTAGGAACTTCAATCATAAAACCCTGTATAAAAACATTATGTTTACAAAAGGAATCTCAGGTTTTCATCAAATTCCTAAGGATCTTTTATTTGGAAACTCATATTAAGTCAATATTACATCCTTAATACACTTCCTTTATTGTCTCATTAAAAGTATCTGATATAAAGAAAACAAATTTTTTCACCAAGTACCATGAAACTGTCTTCAAATTTCTATTAATTTATCCCAGTGTGGAGTATTATTTCTATGGATGTGATGATTCAAAAAAAAAAAAAAGGTTGAAAACTACCAGTTTAATGTTTAGATCAAGATTTTTAAATGGATTTTAGCAAGTGTGTGAAATATACAAGTGCAGCTTTCTGGATAAAAGGTCAATAATTTTTATCAAATTTTCAAAGTTTAAGGAGTTTGCCTCACTGATTTCAAGTTCTCCATAATTTCACCCCTGAAGAAGTAATGATAAGGGCAGGGAATTTAGCTCAGTGGCACCGCACCTGCCTCGCAAGCACAAAGTCCTGAGTTTGATCCCCAGTACCAAAAGGACAAAAAAGAAGTAATGATGAAAGTTAAGGATTAAGGGCTAATCAGGCCTCCAAAATGACAGGTGGGAAGAATGAAGGTGCTATATAACTAGAACTATTGTATGACTTTGTCTCTTTGTCTCTGTCTTTTGAGAATCCTGTCTTTGATTTCTCTTCTCAAATTCAGCTAGCATACTAAGAGAATCCTAGAATCGTCACTCTATTAGTAGATACCACTTCTCAGATCACCAGAAGACCAACAAGAAGATGGAGTTCAGGGATTTAAATGTGTAGGGTATAAATGTGCAGATAAAATAATTTCAAATACTCATATGTGATCCAGCACAGTTTAAAAATTATCAGGGCCAGGGATTTAGCTCAGTGATTCTGCTGCCTGCTTTGCAAGTACAAGGTCTTGAGTTCAATCACCAGTACCTTAAAAAAAAAAAAAAGTAGCTATACTGGGACCTGTACCCAAAGCCTTAAAGCTAATACCATAAAAAGTACATTTGCCCAGACTATCTCCTCTGTGTTTCCTTAGAACTTTGTACATATCTACCATTCTCATATATATCTAGCTATCTGTCCCTTGGGGCCTAGCAAAGAAAACTGAAGTCATAGTACCAAATGTGCTCTAAGTATTTTTTGATGTTTTTCTCTGATAATAGGCTATGAGCTCCTGAGAATTAGATAAACATTTATTTTGTTCTTAAAACATTATCTAGTATATAGAACACTACAACTATTTTCTTAGTTAGTGCTAAATTAATAAATATGTAAAACAAGTAAGGACTGTGTAAACAGAATGTCAATTGCCCAAGAATAACATAAAGAATAAACAAGTGGGATTACACAAATTAAAAAGCTTCTGTACAGCAAAGGAAACAACCAACGAGTGAAGATATAATCTACAGAATAAAAAATATTTGCCAGCTATTCATCAGAAAGAGGACTAATATGTAGAATACATATATAAAGAACTAAAAAAATTAGACCTCCCAATAAAGACCCAAATCAAAAAATGGGCAACTAAAATGAATACACTTCTCAGAAGAAGTATAAATGGCCAATAAATACATGAAAAAAATGTTCAATATCTCTAGACATTAGAGAAATGCAAATTAAAACAATACTGAGACTCTATCTTACTCCAGAAATGGCTATATCACCAAGAAATCAAATAATAACAAATGCTGGAGAGGCTGTGTGGTGGGGAGAATCCTGCTACATTGTAAGTGGAAATGTAAACTAGTACAACCACCATGGAAATCAATACGGACACTCCTCAAAAAAATTAAAACTAGAAATTCCATTTGACCCATTTATTCCCCTTCTACGTAACTTCCAGAAAGAATAAAACATCATATTACAGTGATATATGCATATTCATATTTATAGCAGCACAACTCATAACAGCTAAATCTAGGAAATGGCTTATAGGTCCATCAATAGATGGAAAGAGAAAATGTGGTATTTATACATAATATTTATACATTACTCTGTCATAAAGAAGGATGAATCATTTGTAGGAAAATGGATGCACTTTGTGACCATAAAGCTAAGTAAAATAAATCAGACAAACAATATTAAATATCACATGGCTTCTCTTATATGGGAAAGCCAAAGTATAATTTTAATAGCAAAATAAAAGACAATAGGAAACAGGGAGATAGATTTTTATAAATGGGAAAGGGATCTAGAAATGAAGGGAATGCCAAGCATGGTGGTGCACACCTGTAGTCCCAGCACTTAAGAAGAGTAAGGCAGGAGGATCACTGTGAGTTTGAGGCCAGCCTCAGCTACATAGTGAGTTCAAGGCCAGCCTAACAGTGTCTCAAAAAAGGAAAGAAAGAAAAAGAAAATAAAAGAAATGAGGGGAGTGAGAGGGAAAGGAGAAAAAAGGGAATAAAAAGGCTTAAGATTTTATATATATATATA